CAAGGCTGAAGCAGGGAAATTTGGGGCTGGTGTTGCCCCATGCACCGTGGGATAACTCTCTCTGTCCCAAAGGAGGGGACTCTGAAGTTTTGGGGTTGCAGGCAAGGTTGGTCGCTGCTTGCCTGCATCCCGTGCGGTAATGGAGGCTGCCTGCGGGATGAGTCACCGTGCTCTGCTGCTGCCAGCAGGGCTTGATTTTGGTGGCTTTTTCAGCTCCCTCCCTTGGACTTTATTTGCCAGGGTGCAGACTGTTTTTGGGAAGAGTGACCTCCTCTTCCCCCATTCCTTTGACATGGCTCTGGGGACCAGGATCAGGTCCCAGAGGTAGAAACCTGATGGAAACCCCAGAGGGGTGCAGAAAGCAGCCGAATGTCCCATGGCGGGTGCCGTGCCGGGTGCGCCATTCCCCACAGAGGGAATCTTCCTCCTGCACCCCACATCGATCCCCTCCACAGCCCATCCCTGCTGTCAGCCTGGGCTGTGGCTCCCTCCATCAACCCAGCGGCTCTGCTGTGGTTCCCTGACCCGTTATCCTGCGGCTGTCAACGCCTGTCACACTGTCCCCAGAGGTGGCCGCCGCCTGGCACCAGGAGATGTGATCTGCCTGCAGAGGTCCAGGGTTTGCTATTTTATTTGAGGATGCTTCAGCAGGATGCTGCAGCAGGAAAAGCACTTATGCAAAGCTGTCAGGGGGGGAAGGAAGGGAGAGGGAAGCCTGGCTCCCCGGCTGCGGATGGATGCAGTCACGTTCCTGCTCTGGAGCTCCTGGACTCGCTCCCCTGCGTCCTGGCCAAGACAGTGGTTGTGGTACAGGCAGTTTCTTGCAGAGAAAGAGATGACACAGCGGCTTATCCACCGGGGACCTGGGATCAGCTTTCAGCTTGGTTACAGCCTTCAAATGTGGCGGCTGAGAGCTGTCACGCTGCCACCAAGGTCTTTAGGCTCTGATTTATTAAGCAGAGCTGGAAACTTAAACACTTGAGTGTATCTGGGCCTCCATCCCTCTCCTGCTCTTCCCTGTTTAACGGGGCTGGGACCTGTCTCATGCCCCTCCCATGTCTAGGGAAGTCACCGTCCCTCCATGCCTGTAACCCACATCCACTGGTGCTGAGCGTGCAGGAGGCCCAGCACCATCCTCCTTCCTGCATTCTGCCCCAAAACACCTCTCTGTCCCCATGCCGTGCTGTCGGCTTCCCTGGTCACTCCAGCTTCACCCTTCCCCCCAACAAGCCTGTTATATCAGGGTGTTTTGTCCCTGATGGATCTGGGCTCCTGTCCATAACTGAGGCATGTTTGGCAGCTCTCTGAGCCCAGAGCATTGCTGTCCAAGAGGTTTCAGTCATCTCTCATTCCTCAGCAATCTGGTTCCTTATGTGTGAACCCACATCCACCCAGTTTGAGCCACCTGGGGACTCCGACCGGGCTGGGTCTACCCCTGCCGAGGCTGCTCCGCTACCCCTGCTGTCCGTGTCCTTGCATTTCATGGTGGCAAGGGTGGCCTGGGCTGTGGGGACAGCAGCCCTGGCCCTGCTGAGTGGGGTCTTCCATCGCTCGCAGAGAAGCAGGGCAGTACATCCCAGCCTGTGCCATCGGAATGGGCTGAGCTTTCATACCCGAAGGGAAGGCTGGGTGAGCTCAGGTCAAGGAGCTGGGGCAAGTTGGGCTATGCGGTTGGTCCTGTTTTGACCGAAAAAGAGTCTCCTTGCCACAAGGCTCGCACCGTGGCCGTGGGAAGCAGCTCCTGGCACCCCTCCGGGCAGGGGGGCTGCGGTGGTGCCTCCTCCTGTGATGGGGCTGCTTACTTTGCCCAGCACCACATGATGGAGCAGGGCTTCTCCCCCGGGGCCACTGCTGCACCACAGAAGGACCACAGCGGCACCCCAGAGCTGTGTGCGGGTCCCCATGGGGCTGAGCTGGCAGTTTGTGACTCAGCAGGGCTCCACGCCCCACGCATGGGGCTGCAAGCAGCCGGAAAACTTCCGCGGAGGGTGTCGGGAGATGCCTCATAGCGGGAAACTTCCGCTTGCTGCAGCCCAGTGAAGCACCAGGAAACCTCCTCCTGTTGGCGGGTGACGTGCAGGACTGCCGGGGTGGGGTACGGCCCTTGGGAGCTGCCCTCATCCCGGTGGATCGAGGGGGATGTGCCTTCCTCCCGGGCCATCGGTGCTGATGCCGCGGCAAACTGGGCGCTGCCAAAGCAGAGCTGGCACTGCTGTGAACACAGAGCACGGAACCGGCTTCCTTGGGGGCAGCACTTTGATAAATCAGGTTATTTTGAGGTGTGGGCTGAGTTCCCGAAGCCACTTTGCTCCTTGGCTCTGTGCCTTTTACGTGCCCCTCGTTACAACTACAAACTCCCCGCGGTGCCAGGATCGCAGGACTTGTGTCTCCTCGAAGGACCCCAATCGGAAGCGGGGGTGGGAGGGAGGTGGCGCAGCGATGCTGAAGCAGCTCTTTAGCCAAGGACCTGCAGGAATGTTTTAATCTTGCCGCTCCACTTGAGCCGTCCTTGGCACAGCCACTGCCCCGGGGCTGAGAAGTGGCTGAAGAGCCCAAGGCGGAAGGTTTGGGGTTGAGTGGCTGCGTTTTGGGCCCCAGAGGCCTCTCGTGGGGGCTGCTGCAGGCAGGACTGATGGTTCCTTTCCTTCCCAGCCTTATATCCCTGGAGAATGGTGATCCTGTGGAGGGTGCTGGGCATGGAAACCAGCTGGGAAAAGGGGAGCCGATGTGTGGCCCAGCCTGGGACACTGCATTCCACAGCTGATGGCAGTGGAAAAGTGGCCTGTGGTCCTCAAGCCACCGATGGAAGATTTGTCAGGGATTGAGGAAGGGTCTGCGCAATCTCTGGGGGAAACAGTGGACGTTTTCTGGGTGCATATTGTAGCTTAAGTCTGTTTTCCCTTCCTCTAGCATGTGGCCCCGGATCCTTCAAGTCTAAGCAGGGGGAAGGTCCCTGCTCTCCCTGCCCTCCCAACAGCCGGACCACATCTGGAGCAGCGACGGTCTGCACGTGTCGCAGCGGCTTCTTCCGTGCGGACACCGATCCCGCAGACAGCGCCTGCACCAGTGAGTCCTGCCCTGGGCGAGGAGGGACGGTGTGAAGGCAGCGGGGGTCTGTCCCCAGGGCGGGGGGACTGTGCTGTGCCCTCGCTGGAGGTGACCGGGCGCAGCGACGCACCTTACTCCCCCATCCCTTCCACAGGCGTCCCCTCCGCCCCACGTAACGTCATCTCCAACGTGAACGAGACGTCGCTGGTGCTGGAGTGGAGCGAGCCGCAGGACACGGGCGGGCGGGAGGACCTCCTCTACAACGTCATCTGCAAGAAGTGCAGCGTGGAGCGGCGCCTCTGCACCCGCTGCGACGACAACGTGGAGTTCGTCCCACGTCAGCTCGGCCTCACCGAGCGGCGCATCTACATCAGCAACCTGATGGCCCACACCCAGTACACCTTCGAGATCCAGGCTGTCAACGGCATCTCCAACAAGAGCCCCTACCCTCCTCATTTTGCCTCTGTCAACATCACCACCAACCAGGCAGGTCAGTGGAGCTGCTGGCGATCAGGGGCTGGCTCTCGGCCACAGAGCGGAGGGGGGAATTCTTGCTGACAGCCTTGGAGGCTGGGATCCTTTGTGCTGCCGCCGCACTGGCTCTCCATGCCTGTATCTAATCCCCTGGGTAAATTCTGCTCTCCGTTTAACGTGTGTCCCTGGAGGAGATGAGATCAGAACACGTGCAAGCAGAGAAGAGCAGGGTTGGCAGATGCTGTGGAGAGCTCTGGATCTCTCAGACCTACCCCAGAGATGCAGTGCCTGCTGCAAAGGGAAGAGGAAGGAAATGGGATTTCTCCCCCATGGGCCTGGGAAGACTCAGCACCACCCCAAACCTTCACAGCCAGCCGAGTGCTCTGCCCTTCCCTCCTTCCTCCCGCCCTGGCCCGGCTCCAGCGTGCTGGTAATCTCCAGCCACCGCGCTCTGATCTGATTTCACGGGTCTGGTCGGTGGGGTGGAGCATGGAATGAGTGGAGGAGGGTGGCAAGCCCCAGTTTGGGCTGGTGGGGCCCCTCCCTGGACCAGTTTGCAGCTAGGCATGGGGTGAAGCATTACCTCAGTGCTATTTCCAAGGGTCCATTTGGTCCCTTATCACCTTGACTGTGAGATGTTGAGAGTGCACCTTGTAGGAGGCCAGTCTCCAAGCTTTTCCATGCCTTTCCATCAGGATTATCCAAGCAGGTCCCAGGCAGGGAGTCCAATGCGGGATGGTGGAGCCTGGCACAGATAACTCATTCCTTCCCTTCTCTCTTTCCTAGCCCCGTCTGCCGTCCCTACTATGCACCTGCACAGCAGCACTGGGAACAGCATGACACTGTCATGGACTCCTCCAGAGAGACCCAATGGCATCATCCTTGACTACGAGATTAAGTACTCGGAGAAGGTAAAGCAGGAGGCAGAGCAGTCCTTTGCCTCCTCCAGCACTTCTGGCAAAGGGGATCCCTGCAGAGATGGTGCTGGGGGGATGCGGGAGCCAGCAAAGGGGGGATTGCTTCTCAGAGGTGACACCCACGTGTCTCCCCTACAGCAGGGCCAGAGCGACGGCATCGCCAACACGGTCACCAGCCAGAAGAACTCAGTGCGGCTGGATGGGCTGAAGGCCAATGCTCGGTACATGGTGCAGGTCCGGGCACGCACGGTGGCTGGATACGGCCGCTACAGCCTCCCCACGGAGTTTCAGACCACTGCGGAGGATGGTGGGTACCGGAACTGGGCCACCTCCATGCCCCAGCCCTCCTACGTGTGCTCCTTTCCCAGCTTGACTTTGATTCCTGCCTCTCCCTCCATCAGGCTCCACCAGCAAGACTTTCCAGGAGCTGCCTCTCATCGTGGGTTCAGCCACCGCAGGGCTGCTCTTCGTGATCGTTGTGGTGATCATCGCCATCGTCTGCTTCAGGTACTGGCTTTGCAGGGACGGGGGGTTCAGAGCTGGGTTTGGGGGGTTCCTCGTGTCTGCCCCAGAGCTTCCCCCTTTACCTGTGGGTAGAGCTATGGCAGGCCCCGCCTGAGGGGAAACG